AAGCAGGCAACCACGGCCGCGGTCTAGCACCGGACAACCGCCCGGTGGAGGAGAAATCCTGGAAGACGGCGGCGGCGACGCTTCACCAGTCAGGCGAGGGAGAGGGGCGAGGTGGAGGATGGCGCCACCGAGGGACAGGGGTGGCAAAGGCTGCCCCCATCTCTTCAGCTCGACGACGCCCGACGATTTGGCGGCGCTAAGGCCACTCCTGTTAAGGCCTTCCGCATTCCCTAATATCCGCCATGCCGGCTAGCTCCCACCCGGGCCACCGCCATCGAGGCCCTCCCCTTCCCCTGTCAGTCGTGGCGAGCCCGCTGTCGAGGCCTTTCCCCCATCTCCTCCACCGCGCAGGCGAGCTCTGCCTCGACGGCATCTGCCCCGGTGAGGTCAGGTTCCATCCGGATGGCCCGTCGATGAGCACGATGTCCCAGGCGACGTCGTAGAGCTCGTTGGGGAGGTCGTTGATGGCCCGCGCGTGCTCCTCCCTTGTCTGCCTTGGTCTTCGTCCAACCGGGTAACCACCGCGATCCATGCCGCCGTCGTCTCCACTTCCATCCAGGCCGCCGCCGCTCCTCCTCTGCTCCTTCCCACTGTCGGCATCGCCCCACGGCAGCACCCTTCCCGCGCCACCGCTCCCCCTCTGCTCCATCTCCCCAACCGTCGCCGCCGCGTGCGGCCACGCTGGCCCCGCGTGTGCGCCGCTGCTCAACCATCGCCTCGGCCGTGCTGCCGCGCCACTATAGCCTCGGCCGCACCGACGTCGCCCGGTCACCGTGCCTCCCATTCCATCGCCACCGCCGCCACTCCCACGCCGTTGCGCGCCAGCCGTCTCCCGCTCGGGTGCGCGCAAATGTGAGAGGGGAACGAGATAGCACAGCAAAGGAGAGGAGGAATCGAGAAGGGAGAGGAAAGAATAAGGAGAGAGAGATACCGACATGTGGGACCCACATGACCCCACCAACACGTATGCGCCACTTTTTAGTGGGCCCCACCTGTCAGTTGGTCTCTACCCTCGTGTGGGACCACCGATAATCCACCATGGCATGCCACGTTGGCGCATGGGGGGCGGGTTAAGAACTGTTTGAACTAGTGATGGCACCCGAAACAAGTTAAAAGACCAAAAATGTGTTTTGAGAGTGTGGTGACCTAGATAATACACCTAGATAAGTTTAAAGACCACCCATGCACTTCACTCACTCAGTAACTTCGGAAGATTCCATTCCTCGTGATAAGATATTTTTGCTCTTTCTTGCAGTAAGTACGAAATTGTGTTCTCAGCGTCAAATATACACCGTATTCAGCCAAGACGAAACAGAAGGAGAAAACGAAGAACAAAACTCCAATTTTTACTCCTCCCAGCGAACGGGATCCAGCTTGGCCTACCGGCTACCACCCACCACCCCCTTTAACTCTCCCGCGTCCCGAGGCGGCACACGACACGCCTGACAGGCACGGCTCCACCGCGCTAGCTAGCTTACACACTGTAGAGGCTACAGTTGCGGGTGCGCGTGCGCATTTTACGCATGTGCCGCGCGTGGAACGGAACCCTCCAGGACCCATCGTTCCAACGCTGCCCGCCGTCCGATCAGCGCGCTCTGTCCGCTCCCTGCCGTCCGATCAACGAGCGGAGAGAGGTCGACCTCCTCCTCCCCGGCGCGAGTTGTCCGGGCCGATCCGTACAAAGCCCCCAGGTTGGAGCCTGGTGGTCATCTGCTGGTGTATCTCGCTCTCCGTCTCCGGCGGCCGTCCGTTCGCCGGAGATATTTTGATATTTTTCCCCCTCGCTTTCTTACCGCTTCGGCGTGTAGCGAGACCCCCGCGAAACGACGGCACTAGTACGTCAGGTTGGCTCGGTTTATTTTAGTTTTCGCGTTCAGCTTGAGCGTGAAGGCTCGCAGCGGTCGCTCTCCGGAGGGGTGCGATGCACCTGACGGCCGCCTTTCTGGCTTTGGGGTCGGTAAGCCACTATTAGCTGTTATCAAGTTCTTAACGGCCTATCACGTTCACATAATCATATGATTAGGTTAGTGGATTCATGGCTCTAGGACTTGCTAGTGGTGCATTTGTATACATGTACACTAGGAGCGGTGCTTTCTTTTATACTACTCCCTCCGTTTCAAAATGTTTGACGCCATTAACTTTTTAGCATATGTTTAACTGTTCGTCTTATTCAAAAAATTTAAGTAATTATTAATTCTTTTCCTATCATTTGATTTATTGTTAAATATATTTTGATGTAGGCATATAATTTTACATATTTCACAAAAGTTTTTGAATAAGACGAACGGTCAAACATGTGCTAAAAAGTTAACGGTATTAAACATTTCAAAACGGAGTGAGTACTATATAGCAGGTGGAGTCTTCCAAAAAAAAATAAGGCCTGTTCACTTTGATCTATTTTCAACCATACTATTTTTTAAAAAAGTTACAAAAAATGGCTACGTTTAGTTTGTTGCCAAATTTAGTTAATACATAAGAAATCCTGCTAAAATTTTAGCAATATTGTCATATTGCTAAAATTTTAGTATTACTAAATTTTAGTAAGGTTTATTTTCCTACAATCTGAACAGGCTCATAGTAGTATTTTTGTTTCTAGCTTTTCACCCACTTACCCCACTTGCTCAAGCATGTAATCGAAATATGGGAGCAGTTGAATTTCGAGTTTTTTTTCGGTTGGTTTACCAATTGGTGTAATAAATTTCTGGATGATACATTCTGTAAAGGTGTGGAGTGAATTTGTTTAGAGAAGCATTGGATTTGTTTTTAACAAGCTTAGATCTCAGGCAATAGATTATTCACGTTCGGGTTGCATTTTATAAATTTTGGTGCTTATTTTATCTTGTGCAGTTTGGACTTATAGTAAGCTTGATTTAATATTTGTGGGTTATTATTTTATCGCTTTGGCCCAATGCACATCAAAAACATGTGGCAAGAGGCAAACTGTGGTTGTGTTCTTTCCCCACTTTTCTCAACTCACATCTCTCGTTTTCTGCGCGTACGTTTTCTAAACTATTAAACGGCGTGTATTTTGCAAAAAAAGTTATATAGAAAAGTTATTGTTAAAAATCATATTAATCTATTTTTTAAGTTTATTTGAGCTAATGCTTAATAAATCATTAACTAACTGTCGCTCCATTTCCCGAACTCAGCCATATATTCTCTCATGTTTTTTTTCTTAAAAAAAAGACCATATAGCTATTATTTTGAAAACTATAATCTATGCCTCACGGTACCAAGTTACACATGAGGGATCCAACTATTTGCCACTCTCCAAATGCCACTTTTAATAATTGCTCCTATGTTTTTTTTCCGCTGGATAAAAAATTATTTAGATTTTCATCACCCCCATGTTCACGCTAAAATTGAAAGTTTAGTTGAAATTGGAACGATATGACGAAAAAGTTGAAAGATTGTGTGTGTAAAAAAATTTTGATGTGATGAAAAACTTAGAAGTTTAAAGAAAAAGTTTATAACTAAACTCGGCCTATATAACATGGCAAGTGGGACTGCCAACATGGGGTGAAATATCAAGTTTGACCTCGACGCACCCCCTTCTAGTGTACTGCTACTGTAGTCCTACAAACTACTGCTTTTGACGTATATAAAAATTATATATGTATATAAACTTTATATACGTGTATACAACTTTGTATATATATACAAAGTTTGTATACAAATGTATTAAAAAAAGGTATAGAAAAATATATATATGAACACAAACTTTGTATACGTGTGTACATACTTTGTATATATGTATGCAAGTATACAAAGTTTGTATACGTATATAAAGTTTCTATATATACGAATATAAAGTTGTATAAAGAACTGAAACAGAAAAACCAAAATAATTTAAAAAAAACATAGAAAAGCTGAACGGAAACAACAAAAAAAACCGGAAACAACCAAACAGAAAAAAAAAATCGTGCGCGTGTTCCTCCCTCCCACGCATCGTTCCACACCCCCCACCATCCGCGCGCACCACGTGGCGCATCGTGCGGGGGAAGAGACGCGTGTTTAATCGCTTATTAGCGATTTCGCCCTGTGAACCCCACGAGTCAGAGAAAGCCTGCTAGATGGAAGAAGACGATGATGAGTGTAGGCCATGGTGCCAAAGGCATGTCCGTTCCACCTGGTAGTCGAGCGACATTGATCGGGCACAAGATGGATGGGACGATGATGAGGAAGAGGATCCACCCTCATGGTCAAAAGTCGACACGCCGTTGAGGACAGCAACATCACCACTCCGTCCCTCACCGCGCCGGCGAGCATATGCCGACCGCCGCCTCAATCTCTCCTTGTAATTTTTATATGTTTAAATATATTGTTCAACCTTTTACAAGATAAAAGGGTGAAGCAATAAAAATTGTTGGATTGCCATCAAAGGATGGGAAAAGTGACTGAATTTTAAGTCATCGGAAATTTACACGCTCCCTAAAAAGATATGTCCACAGTTAAGTAGGAAAGATATATGCACAATTAAGTGGGAATTCGTATAGATTGTTTTGATGTAAAATTCCTGATTTGGGCCTTATTTAGATTAAAAAAATTTAGCAAAAAAACATCACATCAAATGTTTGGACATATGCATGGAGAATTAAATGTGGACGAAAAAAATCAATTGCACAATTTGCATGAAAAATGCGAGACGAATCTTTTGAGTCTAATTATGCTATAATTTGACAATGTAATGCTACATAAAACATTTGCTAATGATAAATTAATTAGGCTTAATAAATTCGTCTCGCAGTTTACAGCGAAATCTATAATTTATTTTATTATTAGTCTACGTTTAATACTTTAAATATGGAACAAACCCTTCATATTGTAGCGGTAAGTAAGAAAATGTATATACTTCTGCCCTGGTGAGTGATGGCCTTTCAATACGGTAAAGGTAGACAATCTTTTACATTACACAGTGGCACACCACTAGACCGCTCACGAGCCAGCGCCAGCGTGCGGAGGCTGACCGGGACGCGGGACGCCCCCCTTAATTAAAAGCCCCCCAACGCTTTTTCCTTTCCTTCGCCAGCGGCTTCCTCTCTTCTGCGGCCGCGCGCGATCTCCACACCTCCCCTGCGGAGGCAAGGAAGGAGAGGCGCCCCTCCACACGCGGAGCAGAAGAGAGCCATGGGCCTCCAGGTCGCGGCCGTCGCGCCATCCCCGTGCGCGCGCTCCTCCGCCTCGTCTTCGCCGCCCTCGACATCCTCCTCGCGTCCCGCCCTCGGCGGTGCGGGGCTCGCGAGATCCCGCGCCCCGGTTAATTGGGGCGCCGGTGTTATGGCGCGGCGCCGCGGGTTGCGGCAGCCGGCGAGGTGCGCCCTGAGCGCCAGTTTGGATGGCGTGGGGGGCGGGGACGCGGAGTTCTTGCGGCGGATCGAGGAGCTCGCGGCGGCGGTGGGTGTGCAGCCCACGGGTTGCGGGTGGCCGGCGAGCGTGGAGCGCAGCGCGAGCAGCGCCGGGATGCCTCTGTCGCTCCGGATGCTGAAGCGGAAGAAGCAGCAGCAGCAGCTGGTGGCGCGGCAGACGCGGTGGGACGAGCGGCTGCTGGGCTCCGCCGGCGACTCGGTGGGGCGCGCCTTCTCGTCGATGGTGCTCATCGTGCGGGAGCTGCAGAGCTTCGCGCTGCAGCAGATGCGGGAGGCAATGCTGGGCGACGACCTGCAGAGCGTCCTGGCGCGAGTCCATGGCGAGATGCACGCCTCCTTCGTCTGGCTCTTCCAGCACATCTTCGCCGGCACCCCGGCTCTCATGGTCTCCCTCATGCTCCTCCTCGCCAACTTCACCGTCCACTCCATGGGTCACAGTGTCGCCGCCGCCGCAGCCATCCCTCCCGCTCCACCTACCTCCGCGGCTGTCGCGGTGGTCGACACCCAGCACGCCGACCCATCCCTCCCGCGGTTCGACGCGGCCTCGGTCAAGACGTTCTCTATTGGGCGTGCCGCCTCGGTCGGCGGGAGCAGCGGCGGTGGCGGGAAGGTTCGGCCCGTCGCGGGCGCCACTGGCGACGACCGGTGGGACGAATCCCTAGCTCGGCTGAGCGGTGTCGCGCCGCAGCAACCAGCGCCGCCGGCGGGAACGGGAGCTGGTATGGCCGTGGACGAGCAGGCCATCTGGGAAAGGATGGTGGCGGAGGCCTCGAACATGCAGGAGAACGCGCGTGCAGAGGAGCTGAGCGACCCGGACGTGCTCGGCAACCTCGTCGCACCGGTGGAGGCGGAGATCGAGACGGAGGGCCACGCTGAGTACACGCGGACGGAGCAGCGGTACGAGCTCGCCGTGTCCGAGGAGCCCAATAACCCGCTCATCCTGGCCAACTTCGCGCAGTTCCTCTACCTCGTGCAGAACGACCACGACCGGTAGGCCCCCTCACCCTACGCCCACCACCTGTTCGACGAATTGACCGTCGTGCTCATCTCATCCGAGCCGCGCCACGGTGATCCATTTTGTCTAACCTCCCGTTAATCGCAGGGCGGAGCAGTACTTCGAGAGGGCGGTGCGCGCGGAGCCGGCGGACGCGGAGGCGCTGAGCCGGTACGCGACGTTCCTGTGGAAGGCGAGGAACGACCTCGCGGCGGCGGAGGACACCTACCAGGAGGCCATCGCGGCCGACCCCGGCAACGCGCACCATGCCGCCGCCTACGCGCATTTCCTCTGGAACACCGGAGGTGAGGACACATGTTTCCCCCTCGATTGACGCGGCCACCGGCACAACAATGGCCACTCGAAATCAGACAGAAAATTAGGAAGCGGAAAAAAAAAAGAATCTCTATTCAAAGAAGTCCAGTTCGTGCAGCATGCGCGGGGGCGGCCACGCGGCGAGACGCCTAGAGCACACGACGACATGGGCGGCGGAGTGGAGCTGACGCATGATGCCTTCCGTTTACTTAGGTAGGTTGAGTAGAGGTGTGCGTGGGCAGTGGAGTGAGTTGTGAGCTTGTGAGTTGTGTGATACGGGAGAGCGCGCGGTGCCGCTTCTCCCGTTCCACAAATCCGGCGACGGGAGCATTTCGCCGGGAATGAGGAAGAGGACGGATACGGGGATGCAAGCTCATTTCCCGACGATCTTGTCGGCAGGGGTACGGTGGCGTGGATGGATGGATGGTGTATAGCAACTTGCGTCCTGTAATTATGTAGATTGAGCAAAAAGAATAATAGTACTAAGTGAATAAAGAGGTCATGTTAATCTCGGTGTAATCCTCCTCGGATCTAATGCATTTCTGCTTCCAGTTGGTACTTCCACTTGGCATGGAAAATTTGCAATCGTTCGCCTCTGTTTTTGAGATCGAGAGAGTTCGAGACCAACAGGGTCATCCAGTGTCAAGTGGGAATGTCGTCTGTGCACCAATCTCAAGCTCTAAATTAGCCGGTCTTTGCGCATCGAGCATATACATACACTGATACACACGATACACATATGTTCATGTGATCCAGCCACAAGCGGTATTTCATACAGTGGACTAGTAAAGTTGCAAAATGGGCTGTGCAAGCCACTCTACCTTGCAGGAGTGCTCCTTTTGGCCTTGTCTACCAGACCAGTGACAAATGGTTGGTTTGGTTTATGGTCTAAATAAGCCTTACCAAATTTTATAAGTGCTAAATTTTGGCAAGTTTTGGTATGACTAATTTTGGTAAGGTAAAGTTGTGTTTAGATTAAAGCTAAAATAGCCTAAGTTCATTGTTGAAATGGCCTATTTTCTTAGGTATGCTAAAATTTAGCTTCAAACCAAATAGACACTAAATGCTATTAAAATTGTCAAATATTGGTAAGCCTAATTTAGACCTAAAACCAAACCAGCCCAAAGTTTTCCACTTATTACACCATTTACCCAGTGACAAAATCCCCATTGGTCATTTTAGCACTCATAGTACTTGGACACACGCTGGGCTATGGTACAACGCGCCCATATGCAGTGTGAGCCAGTGAGCAGAGTAGGACCATTGGATATTCTCTCTCGCACAAACCAGAATCATGTGCTGGTTTCTCTTCCTCTCGTGCCAAGATGCGAGTTGGCCTGCCCATTTCCCATGTGACCAATCCGATACATCATAACGTCTGGGACTGGTATACGAAATTTGTACGAATTTCAGACGAAAGACACCGGCAAAAGTCCTTGGAGCGGTGCAACCATTTCATCTTAAAAAGGGGACCACTGAAGTTCCATCGTCCTATTATCGGCGGAAAATCGAAAACCAGTGTTTCCCTGAGATGATATTTACCAGATTTTCACGGGCGCTGCGTGTGTCACGGTCGGTATCACAGGAAACGCCCTTTCTTTTGACCGTATGTGCCACAACAGCCTACAAAGAGGAAGCACAGCGGCCAGCGTTGACAAGGAAACCTTACGTTACATAGCTAGCTATCGCACTCCTCTACCGACCTGATCACTGGAAGGTATTCCCTTTCCTGGCGTCGGATCACGGAAAAGAGTACAAAATCCACAGTGCATTGTATGATAGGTTATAATGTCCCGGCTAATGCACCAAGAGGGAGCGTCCAAAATCGGCATGGGGGGTAACCAAGCAGGCAAGCTGCTTACGATCTCTGATATGTGTTGTAGCAAACTCTCTTATAATGACCTGTTCGTTCGAAAGATGAAGCGTTTGGAATGACCTGTTCGTTCGAGAGATGAAGCGTTTGGACGGCTGCGATGATCAGGACGGCGTACGTGGCGATGCGACCTAGGCTATATAGCAAGCTAATATAGTAATCACCATATCATGCAAGTCGGCGCGAGTTCTGCTGCAGCGGCCGGCACATGCTCGCGCCCTGTGCTGATGGACCAAGGTTGTACGTTCTTTTGCGCTTGAACCTATCGCGGGGAACGCTGTTCTTGATCACGTCGGGATTGGAGCCGTGATGTGATCGGCCGTTCCGCGCCAGCTGATTGATCAGGTGCGTGCTCCCTTGCCGAACGAGGGTTCGCAACTTCGTGGCCTGTCCAAGAGGAAAATTCCACGGTGTGAGTTTTGATTAGTAGATAGGATCATGTAGTGGCAAGAGGAAGGTGACAATGGCATGAATGGGTTGATGGGAATGGAAGGGGGTACAGTCCATGGTTCCTTCGTTCCCTCATGGTTTAGAGAGAGGTTAGTCGCCTAAGAGCATCTCTAACAACCCCTCTAAATAACTCTCTAAGCTAAATTTTAGCCATTTCAGCGAAAAAACGTCCTCCAACAGTGTCTCCACCAGCCAAAAATCCCTGGCCAACTATGGGCCCCACACACATTCTCCTCCCATCTCCTTGCCGGTTGTTCTCTCTCGCATAGCCCCTAGCGCCGACGTCATCGCCTGCCGCAACCGCCGCCGCCGTCCGCGCCGTTGCCGGCCGCCGCGCCGCCGCCTCCCTTTCCCCACAGCGGCTCCTTCTCCTCCTGATCTGCCCGCCCACGCCGTCGTCCTCGATCTGCCCACCCAGCGCCGCCGTCGTCGCGCTCCTAGTGCGGCAAGGGAGGGAGGGAGCGGCGGTGGGGCGGCTCGACGCCTTCGCCACCATCTCTGCAACGTCGTCGTCGTCGACCCCGCTGGCACGAGCAGGAGCACGAGCAAAGGATTGGAGAGAGGGGGAGGAAGAAGAAGGAGGAGGAGAATGACATGTGGGGTCCATTTGGTTAATAGAGAGTGGAATATGGAGAGTCTGTTGGAATAGAAGTCAAATTTGACTCTAAATTTTTATTAGGCTGGCTAAATAGGTATTTAGAGAGTAAAAAATGGCCGCTATGTTAGAGATGCTCTAAGGCTGTGTTCTTAGATGAGGGTTGGGAACCCTCATCTCCGACATGAAAAACGGAGCAATGGATTAGTACGTCATTAATTAACTATTAGTTTAAAAAAACTTCAAAAATATATTAATATGATTTTAAGCAACTTTTCTATAGAAATTTTGTAAAACATGCAGTGTTTAGCAGTTTGGGAAGCGTGCGTGTGGTAAACGAGGGAGTGAGGTTGGGAACCTGAACTTAAGTTGTGTTCGAAAAGCATACACACCGTTTAGTAGTTTGAAAAACATGCATGTGGAAAATGAGATATGTAAGTTGGAAAAAAGGGGAAGAACAAGTGGAGGAGCAAGCATTTTAGATACAATGGATTAGGAGGTGGCAACAAGTGAGCACCGTCGTCCGTTGGATGGTTGGGTCGATATATAGTCCAAATATAAAAAGTTATCATCGATCATCAGATCTAAAATATACGGAGAAGATTAAGCAATAACTCACCACATCGCACTCGGTACATTTTATAGTCCCCATTCCCCTACCCCTCATGCGCATGCTAGGTATGTATATTTTGCATGTACATGCATTATCATCGTCACATATTCTTCAATCTTCATTAACCAAGCCTTTCTAAACTCATTGGGAAGGTATCACCTTAAATTGCATTATTTTCTTATCTTACTGTTGGATTGTGAATAGTGAGGTACTGACCACCAAGGAAGCATATTGTGGCAGTTGAATGAAGTGGTTAAAAGGGGTTATCTTTCTAAGAGGTGGCGTGTGGAACCACAGCCGGTCATTTTCCCAATAGAGAGGTTTTAACATTTTAGCCACAACACAGGACATCCTCAACTTATGCAACTGGTTTTTTTATATGGTTAACCAAAAATAGAGATAATTTGCCACCTATGTTCCTAGTGTGGTAAACATGTCTATAACGATCGACGATACTATTATTTCAGTTCAGTAATATAACTGATCAATGGATGCTGTTGGGAACAAGGGTGATTGCTGATGCCAAATTGCCAAACCATCTCACATTCTCACCATTTCAGGTAAAAAGGATCTCATCTCTTGCACTTGCATGGCAATACTAGAGCTGAGAAATAATCATACATAACTTTTTGAGCTGCATGCCTAAGGAAATCAATTTCAACAACTGTATATGCTCCTAGTTTTGCTAGAATATAAGTACAAACCAAAACAATTAATTGCTTGCTGTGTACTGCTCTAATCTGTAGTTTACTATACATATATACAATAGGTAGTATACCTGGACTACTATTGTATAGTATTGTACTAGTACAAATGTACAATAAAACCAAAAAGATGCACACACCGTGCAGTTTTCAACTCACTCAGGGTCCTCTTGCACTTACTTGACCTTGAGTGCAACTTTGTCACCTTCAATGTAGAGCTTCAAGGCGGTGATCACCTACCCCGGCAAGTCGGCGGGGCTCTCATCACCTCCGTTGTGTCGACATACCTCGCCATCCTCTGCACCGGGAGAGGCACCGGCAGGCCTTTGGGGAAGATGCCGGAGTTCCCCTCACCTTCTTCCCCCGCCGGCGGCGGTCGGCGCCGCATGCTGAACAACGCCGACAACAAGCCGGATTTGCATGGCACGATGAACGACCCATACTATTACGATTGCCGGATCTTGGTGGATGCCACGCCGGAGAAGTCCAGCCGCAAGAAGAGCACATTCGTGAGGCACTTCTCCTGCACCTCCAGCCACGCCCTCGTCAAGATTGCTGCCGCAATCGTCGATCCGCGTGCCGTTGTACTGCACGGGCGCGGTGCGCACGTGCGACAACAACGTCAACTCGCGTAGCCGGCTTGTTCTTCTTGCCTTCTGGGAAGAGCCGAATGAGCGGGCCTGTTTGGATTAATTGGGCTGGATGTTGATTTGGATCGTTGTGGTTGTCTTTTGTTGGATCGGACTGGGTTGGGCTTACAAAAATGCGGTTTGGTTTGGGCTGGATGCAGGCTGACTAGAAAGTTGATCCATGGGTTGTTTTTCTTTTATTTTTTATCAGAACCGCACGGTGAGCAAGGAGGTGGTGGGGCCACGGGGGAGCGGGGGCACTCCAGGTCGAGGGCGGAGCGAACTGACCCGACCACCACCGCCCCCTTCTTCTCCGGTTCAAACCGGCGGCAAGTCGCCGACCTCTTCCGCCGCCCACCGAGCCGCTTCTCCGGTGAGCCCCTCTAAGCCCTCCCGACTCCGCCGATTTAGACCGGGCTACACTAGAAAGGGTACCCACGCCGGCGTAGTTGGGTCTCCGACTCGTTGCTGCCCTAGTCGTCGATCTCCCCGTCCCCTCGCGGCGCGAGCTTGCCCGCCGCCTGGCCCGGAGCAGCGGCGTCCGTCGTCCTGCTGCTTCCGCCGCATCCTCGCTCGCCGGTGAGCACCCGCGCGCGCATCCTCTTTCTCATAGCTCTCTCTACCCACGCCTTTTCTGCTCGCTTTAACCTTAGCTTCACTTCTAGATCCGGGAACTTCTCTCTTTGCATTAAAACCATAG